ATTCGAATAATCTCTTATCTGAATCATATAAATGATTTGAAGAGGAGAAGAATGAAATAAAAATGAGATACGACAACAAATAGGCAAATAAATAAAAAGAAGAAAGCAGAAGGCTTATATACATGTAATCCTCGTGTAATGGGTCAAGAATATACGTCCGAACAGGATTAGATCAAAACAAAAAATTTAAGAAGAGAATCCCTACATAAGCCACTCGTAACCAGAGAACAAAAAAAAAATTTGTTCTGGGGTCAATAATCTCCCAAGGAAATGTATCCCTATAGTTAATTATGTTTTGGGGGATACCCAAGAATACTCTCGATAAAAAAGATTTCACTTATGTTATCATGAACGTGAAGAGTAGGCCATCAAAAGGTGGTTATTCTGTATGGGAACGCCCCGATGCTTTATAGCTTTAGCTAAGCTACAGGGAAGATAGTGAGTCTCTCACATTCCAAATGGGTAGCGGCTTGTCGGCATACAGAGCCTACAAAATAAACAAAATCATCTTAACAGAGATGTTTTTATACTTCAAAGCTCACCGGGCCACCAGAGTAGAAGGTGAATCACCGTATCTCAGATGGGCGGCAGCTCATCGATAATCGGGTCGTCAAGATGATATCAACAAATTCAAAGGAAAGATAAGGCTCAAAGGTGCTCAGCAAGAGAAATGGTGGATTAATCCTAAAAGGTAGAGGTGACCGGGTTGAGGAACCACAAACCCGTCATCCTATGCTATTAGGATCCTAAGGCTACATAGTCATGAAGGTAGTCAACCCAACACAACCGAAGACTCCTCATCAACAATCCATGAATTGCAGTGTCTGAGTGAGTCTCGGTAGCCCTACAGTCAAAGGAAGGAAGATCTATCCTATAGTTATAAGGTGAAGCTCAAGGAGATGAGACTTATACTCGCTAAATAAATGATAGAGATGCCACCGGAAAGAAAGTAAAGAAGTGGTCCAACTACAATGTTGAAAACACTCTCCACAACGGACTTACTCTCCGCATGGGTTGGAGAAGCTTCTAACATTCTAAATATGTTAAACAACCACCTAAGTATAAGAAACTTATGCTTGGCTAGTCGGGTTGATGAAGCACAGAAATTTCTCCTCGACACCTGCAATGTGATGCAGTTATCTAGTCCTAATCGTGGAGTCTCTATTAGGGATGACTTGGGATATAACCAGCTATGCAAACCATTTTAGAGCCGACACAAAGGAATGCAATAAAGTATAGTCCAGGTTTTAAACATTTGAATATTTTAATCCAAAAAAGTTGATTATTCTTAAATCTTTTATTAGGTTTTTTATAAAAAAAGTTTTATCATATTTGGGTCCTTAAAGAGCTTAATGCTATATTTTAGACAAAATCACAAGTTAAAAAGAGCGAAAATAATCAAAAGCATACAAGCATGTAGTACAACAGTAAAACAAGCAAAATATAAACAAAAGATCGGTACCGCTGGGTCATGAACATATCACAGAAAAAAACAATAGCGGTTGGACTCCACATATAAATGTCTGGTCCTAATCCAATACAATAATGTAAAATGTGAAATTAATATATGTGACACTAGTATTTGCTTCTAGTCCCCCGCCATGTGGTTCCCACGTTAAATGCCTCAGAACTCATGCTCATATCTTATTTCCACAACAAGACTTTCTTAAAACTCTAAAAAGTGCAACAGGAAAGCAAAAAGAAAGACTCGATCTGCAGAAAAATGTCAGCACATGTTATAACAAGCAAACATATCTGGTTCATGCCTGGTGGGGGAGCTAAGCAGCACCAGTAAGCAAACGTTAACATGTAAATCATCACATGCTCTTCCGTTATATTGTACATGTGTGTGTGCATATATATGACACAATCCCCTTGTAGAAGAGAAAAGCCTAATAACTACCATGCATATAAAAACTCGACACACACAAGCACTCCAAATGCACAAAAGTGACGCTTGGGTAGAATAAACAAGTCAACAGAGAAATACAGCCAGAGACATCAAAAATAATACTTAGCATCCCAGTCATAACCCAACACACCATCTAACGAAAAGTGTCTTAGCCATCATCTAAGTGCTCAAAGTAAAGTCTCAAATTACTATATGACTTGACGGGTTGCCACATCGGCCTCGTCCTAAATATCTAAAGGATCTAAAGCAAGTCACAAGAAAGGGGTGACATTTAAAAGAAGTGACCTCATATATGACCTAACATATATAAATTTTAAATTAAAGTGGATGATACTTATAGTAGTACAATTATTCATTTTTTTATACTTTAAAATAGCGGAACATAAAATACGGGTCAGTGAGGCATGTGACGTACTTTAGAGTCATTGGTTCTTCAGCACAGTCTTACTATTTGTTGCTCATGATACAAAAACTCATATTGCTCGCCGAGATATCCTTGTGGGTAATGCTCATTTGAGCATCACGACCAAAAAACGGGTCACTATCTTAACGAGTAGGACAAGCTATTGAAGCAAATGGGCAAGCATACAAACATGCAACAACTCACATTGTAATTGTTCGACTGAAGCACGAAACAATCATGGCGTGTGCCAAAAGGTGAAGCACACATCATGTAAATGAATGCAAAGATGCATACATGCAACATGACACACAAAAACATGATGTACATGTAAAATAAACTACTTATGAAAATGAATTACATTTGCCCGGGGGACCCGTGGTGCCATGCAATGAGCAAATAGTGACTGCAAGTGAGTTTGCATACATATGAAGATGATTTACTCTTTACCCGAGAGACACTCACTGAGTACACATGCAAACATGCAAGGTATGCAACAAACATATAAGAAAATGTCGAGCATACAAAAATACAATAACAAAATATCATAAACATATGACATACAAATGACAAGCATACAATAATGTCAGGTGCCAAACATACTAAGTGAT